TTTTTTTTTTTTTTTTTTTTTTTTTTTTGGGGGGGGGGGGAGGGCGTAATTTTAAATCATGGCCCCATACACCAAACACTCTAGCTACAGCCCCATCCAGTGACGTAGAAAGGAGGAGGATGAGGTTGCTCACCCAGGTCTCATTTTATCTTTATATGAAGATGCTGTATTTTCGGACAACTGCAAAGTTTTTATCGTGAAAGGGTGAGCGGCCAAAATATTTGACCCTCATGGTAACATTAAAATTAGATACGCTTCTAGGAAGTGTATCTATCGTCACCAAAAGTAGCGATCATTTTTATCGGGGTGTAGGATTGAAATCGAGGGCGCAGATGAATCTTTATTGTATTTATATTTTATTTATATAAATAAAAGCAAGGAAAAGATCAATAATGTAAATTAAGGCAACCAAGAACATATCCCTCTGGTAGGATATGCACTGGAAGAAGTGGAGGCTTTCACACACTTCGGAGCACCAGTGACTTAAGTGGTGTCTGCGAAGCGGATGTCAGGGCTAGAATTGAAAAGTCTGTGTCAGCAATTTTGCTATTAAAGAAATTATTAGGGTCAAAGGAGCTCACTCTTCCAACCAAAGTCAGAATTTTCACCACAAATATCAAAACATTCCTAGTCTGTGTAGCCGAAACGTGGAGAAAAAAGTAAGAATTGCTTAGAAAATACTAACCTTTATAAACACTTTGCCATAAAAAGATCCTGAACATCAAATAGACGAACACCAACACCAATATAGACTTTTCACAAAGGAAATACCAGAAGCCTATTTCTGAAGATATCATAAGGAAAAGATGGAGGTGGATAAAGCAAATTCCCCGCAAACCACCAGATAAAATCACCAGACAATCCCCAACATGAAATCCACAGGGTAAAAGAAAAGAGGAAACCTTAAAATACAACGAGACGTGAGCTAGAGGCAGACATGCAACTAAATGAGATACACCTGGAAGCAGCTAGTACAGGATCGAGATGAATTGAAAATTCGTGTAGACGCCCAATGCCCCAGGCGGGATGAAAGACATAAGTAAGTGAGTTAGATGAATCTTGAGCGTTTGTGGAGTCTGGGGAGCCATCTACCCAGATTTTTTTTTATTATTTCAAAATCAAGAAGTGCATTTAGGAGTATAGTTGACTTCAATGTTTCCATTAGACTTTTTGATCGGGGGAAGGAAAATTTTAAGGGTCAGCGCCATACTTAAACTTAATTCACTCAAATTGTGTCGTACCTCGGGGTAATCATTTGACAAAAGCTTACATTTAACCCTATTCTGTAACATTGATCAGCGTTGGGGAAGGGGTGTAAAAATGTAGTGTACTTAAGACAGTCACATAAATTCAAAAATTCAGGGCTGAATTTTGGCGCTTACTTGAATTTGGTGTTTCTTTCAGACAATATTGAGGTTACATTTCAAACTTTCACATTGGAAGTGATACAAATTAGCAATAATAATAATTAAGGACAGTCTTAACGCCGCAACAGCCGGACATGAACTAAATTCATTTTTGTTTTGGCGCCCTTGGGGGTATGCATTTTCCCTATATTAATATCGTCTATTAAATCTTTTCAGTCTCCAGAAATTTTTTTGATAAATTCAAAATAAAGTAATGCATTTTAGCAAATACTTTAATTTATTTTTTAAACAATCTACACTTGGAGAGCAACGGAAGAGATGCTAGTTTTAAAAAATGTAGGTTTCACTTAACAGTAGAATCATCATGTGAGCTCAGCAATCAGTGGGCCTCGGATATTGTAGGGCTTAAAGATGTGATGGGTGCTGGGTGGCCGAATCGTCAAAACTGAGCAAATTTCAAGTTTTTTTTGTCTGGAGTTCAATTACAGCCAAAGCCCAGTCAAGCAAAAAACATCACCAGCACCCTGGTTGGATGTTACACGTTAACCTTGGATGGCAACTCATCTAAGGGAAGGAAACTCTAAATTCAAAACCCGGAGTCGCAGTCCCGATGGCGGATAACATTGGTACAATGAAACATTCCGACAACTCCTGCAACGCCACTGGTGCCAAGCTGTATCATCCTCATGATGTTCCCTTGGCTTATCCAGCGCCGTCGAGAGCGACAGTTTGCTGTTGGGAACCAGCTGATAATCCTTGAAGAATAATCCCAGGCCTTGTTGATATCGTCCTTCACAGTCCACACCATCGTCACATACCGTAGTGGCGGGCGGATGCCAACAAAAAATAAAAAAAAAAAGATGTGATGTGGATATTGCCTCATTAAATCATCTTTAAATGCAAGGTGGGAGAGTACAAAACCAAAACGTTGCAAAAGAGGCCTCGAAAAAGCGAATGACGTAGTTGTGTTATGCAATTTTTTATATAACTAAATAGTAAAATGGCTTCATTTTTTTTTTAATTTAAAGCTCTTTGTGGTTATCTACATAATTAATAAATGAATTTTCAAAAAAAAAAATAAAATAAAAAAAAGGTTTTTATGACAAAAAAGCACTGTTCTCATCGACAAATGCACTCGACAAAATAAATTACTTATAATTATTAACTTAATTGAAATAATTACCTTTGTTAAATATTTCCAAGTTTTTTAAAAGTTAAAAAGGAAAAAAAACAAACAATTAAGTAGAAAGGTCTATGCGTTTTTTATGGGTTATCAAAACTGATCATTTTTATAAATCGTATATGGTTGCATTATTATTTAAAGAAGACATGAGTTTTTTTACAAAATAGTATAAATTTTGCAACATTCAGTTGATTAATTGATTTCAGATAAATTGCAATTTGCCACTTAGATATACTTTAAGACATTTTTCCCCAAATCCACAGATTTTTTAAAAAATTAACTAATTAGAAATAAGAATTTATTCTAAAACAAATTCTAAGCAACACAAATAAATGGAATTGACATGATAATAGTAATGCTAGTTCATCTTCTTTATTTTAGCTTTCTGATAGAGTTTCAGCTTGAAAAAAAAAAATGTTTAAATCCTTGCAGACAGATGGAGCAGTTTGTTTATCATTCTAATATTAAAAAGATAACGGTTGGTCTGGATTGAATAAATATTGGCTCAATATTTTTTTTTAAATCATCGTTATTCAGGAAACTTTGTAACAAACGTAGACCGTTTAAAGAAAACACAAACATTTTTTATATAATAATGAATGAAATGGGCGCTATTTTTATGCGCCAGTTAAATTCTTAATGTAATTTAGTTTCTATTTTATATTATATAACTTAACATTCATGGAATCGATTAAATTTATAATTATCCTCATTAAAATATTTTTAAAGCCCATTATCATCATACAATGTATAATTAACACATATCCCTACTTTAAAAGTAATGCTGGCCTTTGGTCAATGCTGCATTTTTAAAAAAAATTCATTACCTAAGCAGGATTAAGACAGTTACAATTGTTTGAATTTATTTATAATTAAAGGAAGATGTTGATACCAACCGTTAAAAATGTTGCTAATAGCCCAATTATTTTTTACAATGTCTCAGTAAACCAAATTATGAACTCGAGAAATAGTTCCAAAAAATTACTTTTTTGTAGGTCTACAATTTTTGTTTAGCTCTGATTCCAAAATTATTATTTTTTTTTTTAAAATCAAGCACCACCTGGTGGCGTCATGTCTGCGTGTCCAAAATGTCCACATTGTTTGTAGTATCCTTCTGGTTTTCCTCTACTCTTCGTATGTTTCTTAGTGCCTCAACCTGAACGCAGCCCCCCACCCCCTTTCTTCTCCGTAGTTCTAATTTTGTGTGGCTCTTTTCTTGTCCTTATAATGTATTTATAATTTTCTTATAAACGACATTTCGGAACATATCTATTCTACATTTACAGAAGTAAAAGAAAACAAACAACAACAAACAAAAAAGGGGGGGGGGGCAATGTTGTTAAATGATGAGAATCCCATTATCTGTCCTATCCGGACCAACTCCATTCATCATTGATTGTTTAATTCCCACTCAACATTCAAAGCGACTCCCTTATTTGGTTATATTATGCCCTACACATATTATTATTCCTCCTAATGATAAAAATATTAATAACAAAGTTCATTTCATTGAGGCTGACGAATGAGGACACGCACAGTCGTGTATCCCCCCCCCCACACACACACACATCATGGGGGGGGGGGTTGTAGTATCCGGGTCGGGTCTAAAATTATCATCGCCCCGAAACCTCCATACCCCCCCCCCCCACCCACACGCCCCCCCCCCCNGGTGGTTTGGAGACCTCAAGGGCCAGTTGAATCTCCTTGAGTTTGTTTGTTAGTTTGTTTGTATTTTTTATCCACAAGTTTAGTGGGGGGGGGGGTCGGAGAAACAAATAACTACGGATGTGTAATCGGTAGGTAACTTGTGAAATGAGGATACGTCGGGTTGTCTGCCACTTATAATTGTCAACCGTCTGAAATCATCCTGACAAGATACCTCTTATGATGAGCCCGTATATTGGAGTCGTAGAAGTGTATCAAATTCTGTAGTCAGGTATCGTCTACGCAGTTGCAGTCCAGGAATGGGTGTATTTGCTTCAAAGGTTACAATATTTAAGTTACAGCTTGAAAAAAAACCATAAAAAAACCCCCCACACACACACACAAATAAAAACAGTAGCAGAGTTGATCGACTGGCTTGAAGTGGAGTTAGTTACAGTGGGGCTCCACTGTAACGTGCCACAAAGTAGATAACCTTTTTACTATCGAATCCTTTATATCAGCCTCGCTTTCGTTCGTGGTTGCCTGGTCGGCGAAATTTTGGACGGCTCATCGACCCGCTTTCCGTCAACCTATCTAGCTGAAACTTGGCACGTATAAACGTAGCCGATGACTCTATCAAATTTTCTACCCCAAGCCCCCAAAATCTGTTTTTCCTGTCTTTCCGCGCAGTGCGGGGAAGTAAGATATACTGAAACTAAAGGGTATCTATTGTGAGTACCTAAGTGGTGATACGGGATGTAGCGAGTTATTTGTTATAATCACAAAACATTTTATAGTCGTGATTATAACTTACAAAGCCTTTTAAGGTCTTATAAACTATTTTAGAATCAATGATTTTAGTAACCTTTTATTTTTTTTAAAAATCGAGGGAAAATAGGGACGCAAAAAAAAAATGGTTTCAAAAAGTGTAGGGGACACCCGGGTTTGAACCGGGGACCTCTCGATCTGCAGTCGAATGCTCTACCACTGAGCTATATCCCCTTAACAATTGCCATATGTTCTCTAATTACATGAGAAATGTAAAAAGCCATACGATCTATTCGGATTAAGCAACGGATTGAAGTAAGCTCAAGTCTAAAGAAGACACATTATCCAGTGTCAAGAGCAAAAGAAAATCGAAAGATGGAGAATCACTTTAGATAAGTGAGCTAGACAGTCAGTACATAAGTGAGCTAGACAGTCAGCACATACGTTAGCTGTAGCTAGACAGGTCTGTGCGTAGTCATACGTGAGCTGGTCAGTCCGTTTATAACATGAATATGTTAACCCAATTTGACTCAGGAGTTGGTTCAAATCAGGGGCGTCTCTAGGCTGTTGGGATCACCCGTAGCGGCAGCTTGCACTTGGAGTGTAAGTGTCTTTTAGTGGAAGCTTCTTCCTCAAAACACCACCCAAAAAAAACCTGTCATTTCATGGAGTTTGTAAAGAGCCCCCCCCCCCACCCCCATGGTGTTACTGTTATTTTATAACTACGCCACTAACCACTGGATAAATTGATTGATTTATTTCCATTAGTAGTTTGTTTGGTTTGTTTTTTTTAGTTTTTTTTTTTTTTTTCAATT